CTGCTGGGTAATCTTGGTCAAGTCCCTTCAGCATTGCTCATCTTCCCACCCTTTATCTGCCTTGTCTGGTCAGAACGTACGATCTTTGGGGCAGATGCTGGGCAAAGCACGCTGGAGCTGTAAGGGTCCATAAGCGGTACTTCAGTATACAGCATCGTGGGGAAATGCACCCAAGAAAAATGGATGTCTAACATGCAATAATAAATGCTCCTGCCAACTTGCATGGAGAAGTGTCTGTTCTTGTGGCTGGTTGGACTGGATCCTCTTCCAATTTCTGTCCGAGAAACCGTGCGATCCCTGGTCGCAATTTGCTGGGCTCAGCTACAAGTATTACACCTCATCTTATTTTTCAGTACAAACCATTATCAACCCCTCCGTACTGTCTCTTGCTCCACAAACGGGAACAAATCAGCTGTAAAATGTTCCATGTTACCCAAGGAAGTGGCAGAAGGGTTAGCCAGAGCAGTAGGTTGCTGGCACGACACATGTTTCACGGGTCTTTCGTAGCTTCTTTTAAAAACATCTTTGCTGCTGCACGCAGTCTTTGGGCTGCATCATTGGGGTACAATGTCATCCTACTGGTGGAGGGAATTAATGTGAATTCTCCATGCCAGTTGTCTCTCCACTGACTGACCCAGGCAAGCAATCCAACAAAGAAATCCTCTAAGCCTGGCTGTATTTCTGATGACTAGGTTGGCTGAGCAGAGCGCCAAAATCTGCAGCTTTGATGGATTCCATAGCGAGGGAGGCTCCAGTCCGGTGAAGAGAAATGGCCTCGAGCTCGGCACAGGCGAGCTTTTTTTGAACGTTTGGGGCCAGGGCTTTGTTTTTAGTGTGTGAGAGTGAGAAACCAGGGAAAATTTCACAGGGCTCAGAACAATGACTGTTGGGACAAGAGCTAGGCTTAAACTGGCAACGTCATTCGTTGAAGGTTTGCAGCCTGCAAGGACTGCTGCTGATGTGCAAAATGTATGAGAGAAGGGATGATTTTACATGAAGAATGCTACGTGCAGGATAAGACGAGTCTCCTATTAAGCCCTGATTGGCGTACGTATAAAATTCAGCACTTCTATCTGCTTAAAAGTTATGCATATGCTTAAGTCCATCTGGATTTGACGTACTGTTCACATGCATGCTGAGTTGTGACCTAGGCTGTGGGTCTTTCATGGCATGAATTGTCCTTTTATCTTATGCTCGTACAACACCTAACAGCTGATTCCCCGGTTTGTGCCTGTGGCCCCTAGGCATGTCCATGACTATGAGTAACAATTGATTCAGTGTGTGCTTGTGTGATCTGACGACTTGAGGCTTTGATAGGTGACATTAAGTAGCACGAGCGCTCTGCATTCGCTTTGCTCAGGGTGGTATTGTACCAGCATGGACAAATGAATGCTGAGGTTGTTGCTGAGGACTAGAGCAGTGCATCGTGCTCCCATCGGTGTCTCTGAGGAGGCATGTGTTGGCTTTCCTTGTGTGCAATGCTTATCAGCAAAAGCCAGTCTGATGCATTCTGATTTCCAGCTCGGTCGTGAATCTTGGCATCTTAAGTGATTAAAGTCTGAATTAATAAAAGTCGATGACAGCATTACCCATGCAGACTCACTGGGGCAAGGACATGGGATGATGAGTACTGAGGGTTTAGGGGGAACTGCTAATGGACTTGCCTCCTTTGCTACCCCTGAGTCTCGACTGACCTGTTATCACCTAGTTAGCTCCAGTGTAGCTGCACCTCTATTCTGGTAGGGCTGAGAGGCCCATGGGGGTCAGTGCCATGTGCCCACCTAGTCTTGACCTCAAGGCACTCACAGTCCACCAGGACCAACTGGGGCATCTCCTGCTCCCGACTTCATCTCAGCATCCCTGCTGCCCTCTCTGGAGTCCTGCCATCATCCGCCTCTCTCCTGTTCTTGTCTTGCTTCTGCAGAGTCCCTGAGCAGCGCTTGCCTCCCCCTGCCCTCCTATTTAAGGAAAGGAAGTAAAAGAGGGAGGAGAAGGGAAACCAAACAGAGCTGTGCAGCATATCCTCATCTCTTCTAGTTCAGGGTATTGAGTGGAGGAGCCACGTTCCTGTTCCCTTGGCTGTGCGTGGCAAGAGCCTGCTTTAATTGCTATGCATGCAACAGCCTCCCTCCCCAGCTCCTGGCCTCCAACGTGGGGCAAGGGATGCACCTGCAACCGTCTTCCACACTTAAATAGGTCATGCCAACCTTCGTTGTTAGCCGCATCCGGGTTTAACTTGTGTCTGCGCTCCTCGGAGCAGGGACCATGCTTGAGCCTTGGGAAAGGGCCTGGTGTGGAGGGGATGCTTCAGCTCGTTAATGATTGGACCCGGTTCTTCCAGGGAATGAGGTTTTTTTGCAGTTGGCCACTGCAGCACTGTTCTGCATGAGCCACTGCCTGCTGAATAGCAAGGGGAACACATGCTTGGGCCAAATGGAGCACTTGGAAAATAGCGCTGGATCTTCAGTGTCCAGCGGGGCTGGGCTGGGAGCAAGCAACTCAGACGCTATGGAAAATAGTGATAATGAAATGCCATGTGAAGTGACTGGCAAACCTCCCTCCCTCCTACCCCCCCCCCCCCTTTTTTTTTGCATAAAA